ACGCAGGCCTCCGTCAGACACAGATCGCCGCCGCCGCCGCCGCCTGCTGGACGCCGCAGATCAGAGGGAGGGGTCCACTGGCGAACGCCGAGCCCGAATACGCTCGGCTCTTGGAAACGCAACGGATGCCGGGCCGGTCCTCGCTCGCTCGCGCGTGCGGCGGCGGCTCACCCGGAGCGAAGGCCAGTCCGAGGACGAGCAGGCAAGCCGTCAGGGCCAGCAGGCTGAGGAGCAGCGAGACGCCCAGCGCGAGCTCCGTCCTGGTTCTTCTGCCCAGAAACTCCGGGCCGGTCTTAGCGAAGCCCACCTGAGGGGGATGCGCAAAGGGCGGGTCAGCGCGCGAGGGCGCGCGGGGGGGCGCGGCCTTGACCGACCTCCAGCCTGTCCGGGGACGAGGAGGCCTCGGGCGCGGCGTCCGACACTTCGTCCTCTTCCAGCGTGGCTCGCTTGTAGCTGGACATCTGCGCCGCGCCGCGGACAGAAAGAAGCCCCGTCTCAAAGAGCGCGCGAGCATCGGCGGCCGCCGGCCGGCGATTCAGGGGCGACCGCCGCCGGCTCGTTCCAAGAATAGACGGCCGAGCGCCGCCGGACCGGCAGCGGACGTGCTCGGCCGCGCTGCTTGTTGGAATCGCCGGCGCCGAAAGGCTCGCGAGCCCGCGCCCGACGTGTTATTTGGCGCCGGTGTTTCAATGGCGCTCCCCCCGAGTCGTTCGCGCGGAGGCTTGTTTGAAGTCCGCCGTGTCGCGCTCTCCCCCTTTGCCAACGCTTGGGGACACTTGGGCCGGCGGTGGCGGTGAACGGCCACTTTTGGGAAGACTATTTTGCTCAACCGCCGCCATTTGTGAGCGGCGTAACAACAGACGGCCTCGACACCTGTCTTGAAAATCTCCCAAGTCGGGTCACTCGTACGGCGAGGCGCCGCGCTTGCAATGTTTCGCCACTCGCAATTGGCATTTGTTGATTTATGCGGGGGGGGAAACGCATCAATTCAAATTCGCCGCGGCAGCCAAACGACTCGTCGATGCCGACAGGTGCTCGCAAATGAACGCGGCTCCGCAAATATGCCCTAAAAATGCGCAGATTACGCGAACAAACATGGCGCCAACGCTTTGCTGCCGCCGCCGAGGAGGGGGCCGAGGGCCGAGGGCCACTCTCTTGTTTTGTTCTCGTGCAAGTTGGGTGGGCATCTTAAGACAGGAAGTCGGAGAGCCGCAGACAGGAAACTCACGAGGCCCGACCCCAAATACACGCGCACGCCGCCTCGCTAAACAAAGCGGCCGCTAAACTGTCAGCCAAACGAAGATGACTGACAGCCGCAGGATGCGCCCCTCCCATGACACACAAACACGCCGATCTGACTAAACAAAAAGCAAACAGCGAAGATGAGTGACAGCTGCGGGCCAGAGTCCCGCTGGGCCGCCGGCTGGCTCGCTAGCACGCCGGCACGCACGCACGCACGCGCGCGCGGCGCGGCAAAGGTCAAGTGATGGTGACGTGACGTCATCCCAAAGCGCTCGTCGCGACGGTGAGGGCCCGTGACGTCACCTCCCCGCGCTCGTACGCTGACGTCGCGCCGCATCGCCGCGATCGACGGCTCGTCCGCGTCCGCGTGCGCGCGCGCGCGCTCCTACTCACGGTGTTGCGGAGGTCCTGCAGCGCGACGCTCATCGTGGAGCCGAGGCGGCCGAACGCGGAGCGCTACCGACGGCCGCTCGGCCGAGCCATCGTCCGCCTGCCTGCGTGCTTGCGTGCGTCCTCGTCGTGCTCTCTCTCTCTCGTTGCTCGCCTCGTCCTCGTCCTCGTCCTCGTCCTCGTCTCCTGTTTTGTGCGAGCGGCGGCGGCGGTGGCGGCGGCCCCGCCCTCCTCCCTCTCTCCCGCTCGCTCGCTCGCTCGCTCTCTCGACGCCGGCCTGCCTCCTCTTCCCCTCGAAAAACAAACACACCCCGGCCGGCCGACACGCTGGATGACGTCATCGACCACGTTACCACACAAGCCCCGCCCACCCGACGTCGACCTGCCTGTGTGTGCGCGCGCGCGCGTGTGTGTGTGTGTGTGCGCGCCTGCGCCGAACACTCGAAAGTGTCTCGAGGTGCGAGCGTGAGCGCTGACGGTCGTTCGTCTCTGTGTGCCCCGCGACGGGCTGCCAACCGGTTTGGGGTGTCACCCGCCTGCCGGCCCAAGACGGCTCGGATAGGCTCAAGCGCGCCTGCCGCCCGCTTGAGGATCGAGCAAATTCGAAAATGATCCTTTTGTGTCATGCCGAGTCCAGTAAGATTTCGGCCAAGAGGGGCGAGACACCCTGGACTGGTCGGCGGCATGACGAGGGACCGGTCGCCATGAACGCAAGCCCCTTTTTTGGGAAGATGGGGGGGGGGGGTAAACGAATATAAATTGAGCACCTGACTGTTCCCAGAGTAGTCAGATGGAAAAAACAAAGCCAGATGTGCCGCACGTTGTTCTCAGTTGTCGCGATCATCCCTTCAACGCGGGGTCGGAGCCGCATCAACGGCCACTCCCGCCCCTCGTCCACCCCCGCCCCGATTTGCTTCCGCCGAGCGACGGGAGCAAGAGCGATGCGGCACCCTCTGAAAGCGGCGGCGGCCTCTCGTCGGCCGCGGACGCCGAGGGGGCCCGCTCGCTCGCGCTCCTTCGGCGTCGACCGCGAACGCTCCGGCGGCCTGGCGAACGGAACGCGACTCGCTCTGTCGAAACCAAAAGTCGGCCAAAAGCTTGGCCGCTATTTTCCAGAGTCAAAGCGGACGCGTGTGCAACCGTTTTGTTTGGATGCCACGCGAACCAGAGGCGGACGGGAAACTCCGGCAAACAAAGAGAGAGAGAGAGAGAGCAACATCTGTCAGGTGGCGTGATGGCAACTCCCCCCAACCGCCCAAAACAAAGCAGGAAGGCAACAAACAAACTCGATGCCCCAAAACAAGTGGTGACCCCCCCACGACAGAAGGACAAAACGGCGTGACCCGAGCTGGACTGACACAAGCCAGCCAAGCAACTGCGAGCGGACCGACGGGACGACCGGCGACTCCCGGACGAGACGCCGAAGGCTCGAGGGAGCCCGTCGCTCGACACCGGGGACCCGCACGACAAGAGCAGGCGGCAACACAAGCGCGGGGGGGGGCAAGACCGCGAAGAAAAGGCCCACCGGGACACCAAAGCAAACAGAAAACGCAATCGCGACCGCACGAGAGCGTCCGGACCATTTTGAGTCAAGCGGCGGCTCCAAATTCTCCGCTCGCTTCATCGTCCACGCTTGATTCTTTTGGAGCCGGCCCTCCAGTGGAGAGACAACATTGGCAAACATTGGCATGCCCGCAATTTGGAAGCCGCTGACGTCGGGACGCGCGCAAGGAAGCAAGCAAGGAAGGAAGGAAGGAAGGAAGGCGGCCTTCCAACCCAGAATCGCTCGACGGCAAAGCGCGCCGATCAACCACGACCACGCCGTGTGACTTCAAAAGCGTGTGCGGACGTGCGTGTTCGAGACAAAGCCACAAAAAAGTCAAAGCCACCTGTCACCCACACACAGACAAACAAAAGCGGACATTTTGAGTGGAGGTGAGAGGTCAAGAGTCCTGATGGTTGACCAATGAGCGAGCAGCAGATCAAGCTGGTTGCCGCGGAGACGCTATCGACGGCCTCCAGGCTTTGCCGTCGCGTTGCGTTGCGTTGCGTTGCGTTGCGTTGCGTGGGGGTGGTGGTGGTGGTGGACCCCGAAAAGCAGGCAGGAGGGAGGGGCAGGGAATACTTGACACGTTGGATTCAGAAAACACACAAAAGTCAGTCCACAACAAAGTCCCCAAAACAGAAAGAATCCAAAGTACCAAACAAAAGCCAAGCTGGAGCTAAAACCAACAGTCGTGCCGGAGAACATGACAGCCACCAAGAAACAAACGACGACTCGACGCCGAGCGCTCGTCCTCTCAAAGCAATCGCCGGACAACGAGCAGCAGGTGCGCAGCTGCAGGCAGCGAGCGCCTCAAACACCGTCGGGACGTTGCCGCTCATCGTGGCACCTCCCCTCTTGTCAATCAATCGATCAATTCATCAGTCAAGGTTGCGTGGGTGTGCGTGCAAGCGTGTGCAAGCGTGCGCGGGGTTGCGCACGCTTGCATGATTGCGTGCGCGTGCGTTTTGAGGTGGCGGCATTGCCACGGAGCTGATTGGCTGCCGCTGGATGAGGGGGCGGAGCGTGCGCCGAGAAAACCAGACGGAGCCCGAATGTCCTCCAAATGTTTTTATTGCAAGTTAACATGAAAAAGATGAAAGAGGAGGAGGAGGAGGAGGAGGCTCAGCAGGACGTTAAGGTTTTCCAGAAGAAGTTCTTGCATCCCGCTTTGCGCTCCCGAGGGCCCACCGGCGCAGGAAGACCAGCGTCGCCGCCGCCGCCGCCGACGGACCTGGTCAGCGCCGCCGCGCGCTCCCCGGCCCCCTCGGCGCCATTTCGCCACTCGTCTTGGTCCGCGGCCTCGTTGGCCATCTGCAGGAGGTCCCAAAGGAGCGCCTCCGCCGGGGACGGGCCCGGCCGGTCCTGCAACGCAAGGCCGCATCTTCATCGTCAACTTCGCCGCCGCCCGCATCCGCATCGTTGAAAATCGTTGTCGTCATCTTCATCGTGACCGTCATCATCACGGTCATCATCTGCGCCACCCGGGCGGCGGTAATTCGGTGCGCAGGACGCGTGCGCGCGAGCTTTTTTGTAAAGGCGCGCGCCTCACTTGCCACCGCGCACGCAAACGATCGCAAACGGAGACAGACGCCAACGCGTGACCGCACGCGCAAAATGGCAAAGTCCGTCCAGACGGTAAAAGACGCGGACGTAACCGACGGCGGGCCGGATTTCCTCGGAAAGTTGCCGAGGAAGGAAGGCGGCGGTCGCGGGTGAATACCTGCTTGTAGGAGCCCGGCGCGGCGTCGCGTCCGGGGTTGGCGCGCGTCAGCGCTGCCAAGGGGGAGGCGCAGGCGGCCAGCAGGAGCATCAGGAGGCACCGCGACGACGACCCGCACGTCTTCATCCTCGACACCTGCAAATGTGTGTGCGTGTTTGCGCGTTTGCGTGCGTGGGACAGCGAGAGGAGAGTGAGCGCGTGTGAGGCTCCGTCCCGCCACGGCCGCTCTTATAGGCCACGAAGACGTCACGGCACGCCGCGCTGATGAGGAGGACGACGGTGGCGACGGCGATGATGATGATGATGATGATGATGATGATGATGCTTCCGCCCCCCGCGAGCACTTTAGTTAAATGAGGCATCTTGATGCACTTTGTCTTCTTTCCCACCAGGACGCCGTCACATTTGCGCGCGCAGCCGCACTTCGTCGCACGCGCCAGCGGGGTTGGCGATCGGTGGAGTCGACGTTCATGTCGACGGGCTTTCCGAGGTCCTTTGTTCCTTTTCGGCCGCGCTTTTCTCAAAGGCTTCCTTTCAGTCCACTTTTTGGATGAGTTGAACTTGTCAAGGAAAAGATAAACGAGGACACACGATAAGGCTTGTCCAGTCCGCTCGTTTTTTCAAAGCGCTCTTGCTTTGCTTTGCTTTGCTTTGCTTGGCGCAAACGTTGTCCCCCGAACCCGGAAACAAATTGGCGCGCTTCCGGCGAGAGAAGTCGAGCCGTGTCAAGTCGCAGCCTCCAAAAGCTCAAAGAAAAGACAAACGGAATCAAATGAAGGAAGCGGCGGAGAAAGTCTCTGGGGTGCCGGCGTCCCGCCTCCTTCCTCGATTGGCCGCCCTGGCGACGGACGCGACTTCCTCCGCGCGTTTCCCAGAACGCTGCCGCGCGGCGGCGGGTGGGGGTGTCGTCGCGCGTACGTGCGCGGCCGCCCGCTGCGTCTCGGCGCCGCGCGATTAGTTTGGGCCGCCGGACACATTCACCTCCGGTGAGGCGCTTGATTGGCGACCACGTGACACTTGCGCCGCGAGCGGCGGCGAGGGGCCGCAGCCGAAAGCAAAGCCGGCGCGGCCGACGCGAACCGAGGTCAACGGTGGCCTTTTGCCAAAGGTTCCGAATTTGCGCCCGTCCTCGTCCGACCGACCGGCCTCCGTCCCGGACTGGTCGCCGACTTGATTCTTTTCAAAGACAAACGTCAGCAACCGCGACCGCGGCGAGCTGCTGTGGTTACCACGGAAACGCACGCGCACGAAGGCCCATTCCCATGAAATCGGGGCGGGGTGCGATGATTTGCAAATCCTGTTCCGTGGAAGCGCACACACACAAAATGGAGTCACCATTTGCATTGTTTGACGTCCATTAAGAGTCGTTAGAAAAGCACACACACGCACGCTCGAGTGTCAACATTTGTGCTTCCTCATCTCCATGCGAGAGCAATTAGGAAAAACACACACACACACACACACACACACACTGCGTCTCTCCTGCGCTCACCCAGTCCCACACGGTGCGTGAAATGCACGCAGGCAAACGGGGCCGAAGAAAAAGACAGCCGCTGCCGCGACAGACGCGAGGCTTTGCGATGGGTCTCTTTATTGACGAAGCCCGTCGTCGGACCGGAAAGGAGACGGCGAGGCGGCTAGCAGGAAGTGAAGCCCTTCCAGTAGAAGTTCTTGCATCCGGCCTTGCGCTCGCGGGGCGGCAGGTTGTTGGGCGGCTCGGCCGAGCGCTCGGCCGTCACGCGGGCCGGGAGGAGGCGGGTCGGGCGTCGGCTTCGGCCCTCGGCCGGCGCCATCCGTGCCAGCAGCTCCTCCCGCGCTCGCCCGCCCCCCCCCTGCCAACACCCGG